TTATATTTTTTATATTTTTTTCTAAAAATATAATTTATTTTTCTTTATACACTAATTTTTAAATAAAAATTTGTAAAAATTTAAACTTTAATTTTAATAAAAAATATATTTTCATGAGATTGCCAAAAAAAAAAAAAATACCATTAATGTATGAGCTTGTATAAAAATCAACACATAAAAAATTATTTTTTATTCTTATTTAATATCAATAAGAAGATTATTTTTAATATATATATATATATCAATAATTTTAATATAAAAAATTATATTTGAATCATCTGGATGATTCTTTTAAAAATAGTTTTTATTATTTTATTTTAAAAAAATTAGTTTTATAATATTAAAAAAAATATTCATGGCACAACATTACTGGTGTCATGTATATAAATGTATAGTTAATTTTTAATAAAACTGACGATTTAATAGTTTTTTGATACATGAGAAAAATAAATTATATCTATTAGTAAATAAAATTTTATAAAAAATAAAATATTAATTGGAAAAGAATTTTCATAAGAAATGACAAATTGAAAGAATAAAATTTAAATAATAAGTGTAAAATAATTTGAAATATATGTTAATTTTAAAATATAAAAAGATATTATATATATTTTATCCTTGTCGGACCGTGTAAAAACACAAATAATCACTTTTGATCTTTCATAATTTTTGCTTAAAAATTCTCAATAAAAAAATTAAAGATAATAATAATAATAAGGTACAGGCTCGTGTGTTCGGCTTGGAGGACTTGGCCTGCAAGCTTGGCCCTGGATTACCAGACCCACACCCATGTCAAGTTAAAAAAATGAAATAAAAAGCAAACGATGCATTGTTCACTTGCTCTGCAGTAGACATTGTGTCGTACTTCAGCAATTTTCAACGAACAATAGTTTCCTAAAAAAGTAAGTGTTTAATTTTTGGCCTCTCTAAACCCAAATCTGGCCCTAGTTTTATCCAGAATAACATAAACAATGTCAACAAACTCGTTTAAACTATCAAAATCCATTTTAATGCACATAAAAATTTAAATAAAAATATTTTCGACTCTTGAGCTACCTCCTCCAACTATTTCATAGCCTGTGATTATTACAAATAAATTCTATTCTTAAAGGGAAATAAATTAGTGACGATTCTATTCTTCAAGGGGAATAAATTAGTGGCGAGTTCGATGGTCAAGGTGATTGGAATAAGTCTCAACGTCTCTCTCCTCTCTCCCTCCTCCCTTTCTCTTCGTTATCGATCGGGGACCAAAATGCAACATAAATAAATTTTGAGATTGAAACAAAAGTTTTTGGGAAAATAAAGGACAATGTATAAAAAAATATGGCATATGTGCTTATAAAGAGTAAAATACAAAATGTAATTGAGTGTGAATAAATAGTGTGTACGAGGGTGCATGAACAATGAAAGAAATAATGATTGTATCATATTTTTGTGTTTTGTTTTAGTTTTATTAGTTTTAAACTAGGGTGGTTGCTTGGAATTTGCTATGGAAAAAGTTATTTTTTTATTTCGTGTCATTGAATAATAACATACTATCATCTACATATCAAAATGTTTTTTTTTTCAGGTTTAATTTCTTTCTTTTTCTTGTATAATTTTCATAAAAGTTATGGATAGATTGTTTTTAATTATGAATTAATATACATTTGTTTTTGTTTTTCAATCAACAATCATAATTTTTAATTGCATGTTTAACTTAGTTCACTATAGGTTTGTCTAATAACACAAATCACTGACTCATAACAAAATAAAAAATAAAAAAAAATCACCATAAGTTTAAAATATAAATTGTATCTTTATGCGGTCGTCTTAGTCCTTCATACTGGGACTCTATGAGACCATGGAACATTTTTACCAAAGAGTTTGAACCAAAAAGTTTGAACTCATGAACCAATCAAATTCCATCTCTTGAACTTTTATGAGTTTTTGATTGTTCGGACCGTGTAACTATGCATCCAAAGTTATTTTAGAAGAAGGAATTTTGTCTTTTAGTATAAAAGTTGCTCACGGATCAAAGTGAGAGTGAAAGCTACTGTTTATAATTAGAGTATAAATTGTTTTATTTTGGATGAGCGAAACAAAATTGTCTAAACAATTCTACCCATTTTGATTATTAATGATAAATATGCTATACAAATCTTGCTCTGAAATTTTATTACATTATAATTACTTGCCTACCTTGTCCATAATTTTTTTCTCTGTTCACTTTTTTTTATATATATAATTCTTGTTAATTAGGTATGTATGTGTCATTCTTATTCACTCCTTTGCTTTTTTTTTTTTTTTCCATGGTTAATTAAAGTGGAAGATGTTACACGTATTCAAACGAACTCTACAATAATGCAACAAAAATTTCTCTATGTCCACCAATCCTTTCCCGTCAAGAAGAACGAATCACAAGAAGAACAGAAGCAACAAATATTTTATGCATTAAGTGCTCCACCAAGAAAAAAAAAATTGCAATTACGTAATCGCACATAAACATTCTGTGGCACAATCGAAATTACAAAGAAAATAGAAAGGTGACAAATGAAGGAGGAGAAAGCTGAGCTTCAAAATCAAGAGCTAACAATTGATTTTTAAAACCACACAACCAATCAATGGGCCATGCCAACGCATTCAACACAACAGAAAATCAATCGAGCGGCTGAAAGAGGAATCAACAATACAAATGAGTCAACTGCATTGTTACAATGAGTCTAAATGCAAAGAAGAACATACAAAAGACTCAACAATCAACTTTTATTTTGTTTTAATATTTTTTGTTAATACACACCGAATACCATGTTCAAGAGAATCTAATCCCATCTCTAGATGATTATACCCATGAGAAATGGATCCAAAAGAATAACACGTTCAATAGCTCATAATTCAGTCATCATATTTGTAGCAGGGCCAATAAATCTTAAGAAACTAGCGATTCAGCCTCTTGTTCTATCCAGATTCTGAATCAAGCTACCGTCAACTTCAAATTTGCACCAGTTAATGTCAAGAACTTGCCAAGAAACAATATGGTAGAGAACTTTAACCATAAACATCTTTGTATTTTCACAGCATAGATTATATATTTCTAAGTTGAATTACCTTGATTTTGAAACTAGAAAAATTATTTAATTTGTTTTGCAATACTAGAGATACAAATTTATGATGGACTTTAACTTTATAGAATCAAACTGAAAACATTTCTTTATTGCTGCCTCTTTCGTAAGTGCAACAGCCATATAAGTAAGACAATTAGCGAAAAAACCTGGCTCCTCTGACTTTTTTTAGCCTAAAAATTAAAACACGATTTTTTTTAATGAAAAGCTTAAGTAAAATAATATGTTTTAATTATTATAATAAAAAGAAAAATTACAAAAGAGGACGTGAGTTATACATATATATTGAAAGACAGAAATCGGGATAATAATGTCTATTTGATTTTGCAAATGTCTAAATGAAGAATATTATACTTCCGATGGGATCTCAAAGTTGGATGTCAAATGTTTAGCAAATTATAAATTAGTCTATCTAGTTTTAACAAACTAATTAGTCTGTGTGTTGACTTATTTGTATATGATCTATTATTTAATGATTTAACTTTATTATTATAATATCTTATCTGTGTGTTGTCGTAGTCATTATAATCATAATGTATCTTATATACATGAAAAGTGCTTAACCCAAAATTTGTATAATTTGTATAGCTTTTTTTTTTTTCAATTTGGTATCAATTTTTAAATTTTTTATTGGTTGAAAGTGAGTTTTTTTTAATAAAATTACCCTAAAACTGAAATAAAAAGCAATATTTTTTTAAATATATAATATATTATATTTTTTTTATTCACGTCGAATTTAAATTCTTATTACTTTCGTTTTTTTAAACAAATATTATCACATCCCTTGATTTCATTTTTTTTTTAAAGACTTAACTGAAATATAATAAAGGTTCAAATGGTAAATAAACAATAGATAAATAATGTACAAAGACGAGATTGAGCCACCCCGCACAAAATCTTAAGTCTTTTGAATAAAATTTAATTTCAATTACTTAATTTTATATGATCAAGTCTCAAAAAGACCTAACAATCCAATAAAAAAAAATTAGAGTTCAAACCATTTGACAAACTTCAAAAGATGAATTGCAAATGAAAAAAAGTTCAAAAAATCTATTCTCGTCAAATAAACAAACAATACATACATGATATATGTTAAAAATTGACCACATATCACGAATATTAAAGTTTTTTGAATAAAATTCAATTTCAACTATTTAATTTAATATATCTCAAAAAATTGTGATTCAAAATATTTATCAAAAAAATTATTAAACTTAGTATCAGTGTTCTAATTTTTTAAATTTTCATAAGCCTACGTGGCAAAGAGAGACAAAGTATATGTCTTCATTTTTTAATAGACTACAATAAATTAAAATCTAAATATACTGACATATAATCTATTTATGTATTTTAGTCATAAAACACACTTAGAATTATATCTTTTTTATTATTATTATATATAGATGATTGGTTGGTTGATGATTTATTTTATAATAGTTTGTTTTAATGCAACGTTCTATGACGTTTCAATTTATAATCCTATATTCCATCATAATTTCAAAAGAAACAAAATCTAAGAATACAATGAATCTTTAAATTACAAAATCCATTGTATCCAAATTCAGTTTTTATTGCACTAATTATTAAAAAATAACATAAATTATATTTTAAGATCTCATTCAATAATTTAATTTTTTTAGGTTAATATAATTTTTTAACATGGTATAAAAAATAACTAGGTAATTTTAAATTTAAATCTTATAATCTTAATTTTATCTTTTAATTAAATATAAAATATATAAAGTAATGATGACGGTGTATAAATTTCAAACTCAAAAATTTTTTATCAAAAAAACTATATAAATAATATATTAGAATATCTACACCAGAGTTTAAGCAGTCCACCCCAGCCACGTCGTGATCTCTTTTAAGGAAGTGAAAAATAGTACCAAATGGCTTATGAGTTGTAGGCGTCGCGAGGGCAACATGGTAAACATGGAACAAAAACAAATCCACCTAAAGGGACTGTTTGGTATCCCCGCGTGTTCCTTGTCCCATTCCCTCTCCAAAACCTCAGTCCGGATTCCCCGAGGTAAAACAAAGCCTTATTTCATTTTCGTACTGATGTTATAATAATCCCACCTAACCTCAACACAGGGAGTGAGAGGGAGAAAAGAAAAGGGAAAAACCTTAGCAGACCGCGAAAGCCGGTTTCTCGTAGACGTCGAAAACCATACCTCTTTCTCGATCTTGATCTAATTATTATTTGTACAAGTGATGGCCTGTGCAAGCTTTGTAAAGCTAAACGCAGCGTCCTCTTCATGGATCGGCCAAAAGTCATCTTTCGGTGAGCGATCTCAGGGATCCTCAACTCGCCGAGTCTCCTTCTCGATCCGCGCCAGCTCTTACACTGACGAGCTCGTCCAAACCGCTGTTAGTTACATCTTTCTTTTTATTTAGATTGTCTGCGTTGTTGATGCTTGATTATATTAGCTGGTTGACGAATCAAATATTCGAATTTGTTTATAACTAGATTGATTGGAATGCTTATATTTTTTTATATTTATAAGCTTATGCTAAATTCAGGCATCATTTTATGACACGAGAAATAATTTATTTTTGTTTTTTTATCTTGAATTAATTATATTCTTTTCTCTACATATTTTTGCTTTTTAAAATGTATTTATATCTTTATGACTTGTGGGTGTATATATCGAATGATTTTTGTTATTTATTCCTTTTAATATTTCTAGATCTTATTCAGAATGAAAGGAGAAGTTAAAAAAAATAATTACAGAGAATTGTAACATCATTTATTTTTATTTATTTAGTTCATTGTGCAATACTGAGTTTGGCTTATGTTTGATGGTGTAGAAAGTTATTGCATCACCTGGTCGTGGTATCCTTGCCATAGATGAATCTAATGCAACTTGTGGGAAGAGGTTGGCATCTATTGGCTTGGATAACACCGAAACCAATCGACAAGCATACAGACAACTTTTGCTGACTACTCCTGGTCTTGGTGAATACATTTCCGGTGCCATTCTTTTTGAGGAGACTCTTTACCAGTCTACGACCAGTGGAAAGAAGTTTGTGGATTGTCTGCGTGATGAGAACATTGTACCTGGCATCAAAGTTGACAAGGTACATGGTCTATAGAAGTTACAAATTATAAATCAGGTGTCGGGTACTTGGTTTTTTACTTTCATCATGAGCTATGTATGTATTACTATTGAACTTTTATTGTTTCAGGGTTTAGTTCCTCTACCAGGATCAAACAATGAGTCTTGGTGCCAAGGTTTGGATGGATTGGCTTCGAGATCTGCTGAATATTACAAGCAAGGTGCACGTTTCGCTAAGTGGTAAGTCTGTTTAAGTTCTCTGTGATCTTGCTTGTGCTTTTGTTAATCCATTTTTCATGTCTACTATTTAGATAGCATTTTATATTCCTCATGTTTTATTGTTGCATGATCACATTGGAATATCCAGGAGGACTGTTGTCAGCATTCCCTGTGGCCCTTCTGCTCTGGCTGTCAAGGAAGCTGCATGGGGACTTGCACGATATGCTGCCATTTCACAGGTATTCTTTCGTTGTCTAAGCACATTTCCCACTCATAATTCCAAACCCTTTCCGGTGCTGTCTTTTTCCTGGCTGGGAGAGGTAGGGGTAGTCAGTCACTTGTGCAGATTATGTTACTCAGAATTTGTTAAGGTGATTAGCAGTTTGAAATGCTGGTTGGGATTTTACCATCTAAAAGTGGGTTGAGTTTTATTTCTATGAAGTAGGCACATGCAAGCTATCAAGTCCTAATCAAGTTAAACTATACCAAGTCCTCATTTTAGTACTATAAAATTCCAGTTTTTTGAGGTTCATTGTTCGTTCTTTGTTGATGATAAATTTTATGTGCAGGATAATGGTCTTGTGCCCATAGTTGAGCCTGAGATTCTGCTTGATGGTGATCATCCAATTGACAGGACCCTTGAAGTTGCTGAGAAGGTCTGGGCAGAAGTCTTTTACTATTTGGCAGAAAACAATGTCATGTTTGAGGGCATCCTACTTAAGCCTAGCATGGTAACACCAGGGGCTGAACACAAGGAGAAGGCTTCCCCAGATACCATAGCGAAATATACACTCACAATGCTTAAAAGGAGAGTACCTCCTGCGGTTCCCGGTATCATGGTACGAATGCTGGAACCCTATTTTTATCAAGAATCTAAAATTATATACGTTATTTCTTGTATACTTCAGTTCCTTCTTTTTGCCTTGTGAAATTGAATTGTTAAGGTATCCAATGCCTGTAGCTAAATATTATATATCCTATTATTGGGACTGGGCTTATAGATTGAATGATACGAATTATATGATTGACCCAATTATTAATCACAATTTGATCTAGATTGTTGCTCAGTGTCCGTTGCAAGAGATTTTAAACTTCTTGGTGAAAGGAGATGAATATTGAATTCTTGAAAATTGGATCCAATTTATTGCGGCAAACAAATTGGTTTAAGATAGTAAAAGATATTGAAGTTCTCTTTGCTGTTATTTATGCATTGACTACAATCTGAACTTTTGTCGAATTATTGACAATGATTTAAAGAATAATTTGTCATGGGTGCTACTTCTGTTTACTTTTCAGTTTTTGTCGGGAGGGCAATCTGAGGTGGAAGCAACCCTTAACCTCAATGCAATGAACCAAAGCCCCAACCCATGGCATGTTTCCTTCTCTTATGCTCGTGCACTGCAGAACACCGTGCTCAAGACATGGCAGGGACACCCTGAGAATGTGGAAGCTGCTCAGAAGTCACTTTTGGTGCGTGCCAAGGCTAACTCCCTGGCTCAGCTTGGAAGGTATTCTGCTGAGGGCGAAAGCGAGGAAGCTAAGAAGGGAATGTTCGTAAAGGGCTATACCTATTGAGCAGCATTAATCAAATTAGTGCTTCTTGGCCCCCAATAGTGTGTAATTTTACGTTTTTATTGTTCCTTGTTATGTGCTAGCTATGCAAGCTGAGAAGTTGTAGCATTACAGGATAAGCTTTTTTGTTTCTTCGTCCTTTGTGGTTAACACCAGAGAGATTGAATAATACCAGTGTGAAAGGAAAACTTTTGCAAATTTCGATCAATGAGACGGGTTCAGCGAAAGGAAGAATATATATGTATATATATATTCTTATTTTTACAAACTATGGTTCTGGAATTTCTGTGAACCCTAAAGAATGTTTCTTGTTCGTTTCCATAAATGCAGCCGCTCCCCTTTTCCTCTTGGATTTGCCTACTTGGTGAGCTATTACGGTGTTTTGTTTTTCAACTTCAAAAACTACATACCACCAAGTCGGGTTCTTTATGACAGGTCCTTCGTTTCAGATTAGTCAGCAGTCCAACATTTTTGTTTACAATTTCGCCCTTGATTTTGAATTTATGCTATATTTTTTAAATTTGTGAATTTGTTAGCTAATCACGTACTTTTAATTTATGTATAATCATTTAGTTTGTGTTGGAACTACATGTCTCAAAGCCAAATCCTTATTCTATTTTATCAGTTCAGCACGCCAAACATTTTATTAGTTAATTTTAGCATTTAACAACAAAAATTTAGGAGTAGATTTGAAATAATATACATCAGACAAGGGTGAGAAGCAAAATGTTCGTTCTTTGAAGACAGAACAGTCGGAAGCCATGTTTTTTTTTAATGACTTTTACGGCCATTTGCCATGTTTTTTTTTTTTTAATTGTGGTCCTAAGGTTTTCATTTGAGTTATGTTTTGGCCCCTGGTACCATTGGTGGCCCCTTCACTCTACTTTCAAACATTTAGTTCATCTCAATAAAAGATTGCCAATAATTAATCTAGTACATTCTCTGTGAAGGAAATTTTACAGTTGATCACATAACTAAAATAGAAGCTGGTAATGCTATATCTCTGCAATTCGGAATGAATCCCCTGCTGATTTATCCTAGCTGTTGATAGATGCATTGCAAAATTTTTGTTTATTTTTTATTTTTTTCTTTTCTTATGTACATTTTTTTACCCACTTATAAAATTTGGGATCCTACATGAAATAAAATTAACAATTTATACCATAGTAGTTTTGAATTACTTTTTTCTTTTTTAAAATCTTCATCCTCATCTTTGTTTATCTTTAATACGAAAATTAAAGTTTTTATTTCATGTTGATCAATGCAAGCCATTGTAGAGGTAGAGTTAGGAATTTAAAGTTGAAGGAGTCGAATAATAAACATGAATGAAAACATCATTTACACACACATACCCTTATATAAAAGTTATGTATTATAAACTAAAATGTATGCTTTCTATTTAAAGGGGTCATTCTATATAAAATGTTAAAACTTATATGAAAATAATTATCAAACTTCAAGGATTGTTTTGAACTTTGTGGAGAGGGAGCATGAATACCATTCTCATCCCTAGTTTCCCCTTTAAACAGGGTTTAATCTTTAAGTAAACAAACGAAGTTTCCTAACAATTTTAAAATTCCAATATTTTCATGAACAAATTCGAAATGTTTACAGACTCAAAATGTTTGTTAACATAAATATATTTTTTAACAATTTATTTTTAGGAAAATACAGAGTAAATAACAGTTTATTACATTGGGAATGCAAAGTAATGGTGATTTTAACATTAAAATCCAGGTTAATATATGGCATTGAGATAGAAAAAATAATTATATTAAAACTATTCACATTTTATTTGATTTTTTATATTATGTGAAAAAGGTTTGAACTCAAGCTTGATTCAATTCTAGTCTCGACTTGGCTTACAGGCCCATCATCAAAGCAAGTGGATTGGGGAATTCATTTCCTTTGGACTCTTTTTCTTCTGGTCCTTTTTCCTTGTTAGCAAAAACGAACCAACAAATAGATGCCGACGTGGGATCTCAGATGGACCCACCTAGCATCTACGTGGGTTCCCAGGTGCTCCCAGGCGCGTGAATATAGACGCCATCGTTTCGAATTAGAAGAACTAGTAAACTCAACTCAACTGTTAAGCCCGCACGGCAACAAACAACAACCTGAAGGATAAGCGATCAAAACCTGCAAATTATTTTCCAACAAATCGACACCGGTATTTCACCTCGCATGCTCTCTTCTCTCCTCCATTCATCTCCCTTGCAAATTCCCCAATCCGTAAAATCCTTACTCTCTGTCTCCTCTACAGCAATGAAGGACCGGTCGCCGCCTTACGGCGCCGTTTACGTCCCTCCACACTGCCGTCTCCGCTCCCTCGTCTCCACTCCCTACTGTCACTCCTCTTCGACTGCCGCGTCTCTTTCTCCTCCAATTGGCTCCAAATTTCCCCGTAATCACAGTGAGAACACTTCTGTTTTAAACCCTAGAAACTGTCCTCTTCAACGACAACAGAGAAACGGCGTCGCTGATAACAATAATTGTGATAATTTGAATAGTATTAAGAAATCGGTGCCGAAATTTGTTTCTGCCTACGATGACCGTGTATCAGAGGAAGGCTCTGATCTTGAAACGGACTCCTACGTGGTTCAACCTGTGAGTAATGTATTAACAAATGTATTTTCTAGACTGAATTAATTTAGATTAATTTTTAAATTTGTAATTGTTTTTTATTTTTCATTTATTGTTCAAAACTCTGGTTATTAGGGTGCTTGCCTTTCTGATGGCATTGAGGAATGGAAGCGGAAATTAACAATGCTTTTGCACGACAAGGAAACGCAAGAATTGATTTCAAGGGAGAAAAAAGACCGGCGTAATTTTGGGCAAATAGCAGCTCTGGCGAGTAAAATGGGCTTGCATAGGTTGGTATCTTGTATTTCTTAATATACTGCTGGTCTCCATTTGGTATTCTTTAGCTGATTTTTTTTTTTTTTTACAGCCATTCGTATGCCAAAGCTGTTGTGTTTAGTAAGGTTCCACTTCCAAACTACAGATTTGATTTAGATGACAAGCGTCCGCAGAGGGAGGTACTTTCTTGTGCTACTATTTACTAAGTTTTGTTTTCATCTGTCTGATATAGTTTTGGTTCACAAACCAAAACAATGTTGTTATTGGCCTTGAAAGCTGAACTGCTGAAGTTTTTATTTCAACTTCTGTTCTTTCCTGATTACTTGAAACTAACTCACCTGTTTTCTGGAATGCTTCAATTCGTCGTAAGTTTTTCTCTTTTAAATGAAATTTTAGGTCCAAATCACTATGTATTTTTAGTGTCCATTTATTCTTGTTTTCTTTTGTACGTTTGTTTGCCCTCTTGTTGGACAAACCATCTGCACGTTCCATGTACAGCTTTCATACTTTTCATTATATGTGGTTTGTAAGCTTTAAATCGAAGGTTCCAAGAATTGGCAGGTGAACTTACCCCTTGGTTTGCTACAAAGAGTTGACTCTTATCTTGGAGACTACCTCTATCAAAGGTCCAGGACTAATAATAATTTTCCAGATACATTTTCTAGATCAAGCAGTAGTAGTTTATCTACCGATGATGGGCTTTTTGAGCAACCTGAGTCACTGGCTTCTAGTAAGGCTGTTATGGAGAAAATTCTGTGGCGGAGAAGCATGCAATTGCGTGATCAGCAACGCACTTGGCAGGTTCATCTTAACTTGAAAATTATGGAACTATGTCATGTTTCTATTGCTATTTCAATGCATTTCTTCTATTTAGCTATTATCTCAGGCAAATTTTCCCAAACCAGTTACTTTTTGATTGGACAAAGAGGAAGGCTACTTACCATTTTCTTTTCATAGTTTTAAAAACAAGACCAGCAAACCTTCAACTAGTCTTGTACCGCCTCATTACTTGCCTCTAGAAAAATCCTGGAGAAAAACTAGCTGACCCATTCTGGTTTTGGAACAACCAGATGGTTTCATTTATGACTTGAGAGGACAGGTGGCATGTAAGCATCATTACTAAAGCAGCTTTGCGTTTGGGCTTCGAACCCCTGCCTGGAAGTTGGCTTCTCGCCCCATGCAAATAAATGAATAGTATCAGTTTTCCACTTTGTTTTACTTTTCCCAAACTTGCATACAAGTCCCATATGACCCACTATGGTCTAAAATAGATAATTGATGTGCTTTTTTAAACAAAAAATGTCACATCAAAATTAGTTTGTCGTTTTTTTTTAAAATAGAGATGTGGTTTGGGATTTCCTTTGGTGGAAAAAAAATTGAGTTATATTTATTTTATCAAATTTATCTAAATTTAATATCCTGAAGTAATTATTAGGGTATGATACCAATATGTTCTCTTCTTTTCACTAATAAGATGTCCCTTTTTTTAATACCTAATGAATATGATGTCCTAGGGATCTCACTGGTAGACCCTCGTTAATTGTTCTGTTGGCAGGGTCAATTTTTAAAAGATTGATTTTCATTTTTTTCCCCTTAGATAATATTTGGTTTATTTTCTTATGGCATTGCTTAATATCTTAGCTTAGATACTTGTAGATGTCTTTTGCATTCTCAAACTTAGGTTGTTTACAGGGATAAATCCAGACATTACCATTTTGGTGCTAGTGGTAGGGGCATTTTCACATAACTCTTCTGAAAAATTCTAGAGAAAAGGGGGATTTTGATTTTTATTATTATTATTATTATTTTGATTTTGGGGGGTGCCCCCCACCAAAAAAAAAAAAAAAAAGAAGGTCCCTGGTTGTTTATGTGTTTTTTCTGTACTAGTGGTTGTGGCATGATAATGCTGAAGGGCTGGATTGCACCTTGTCATGTGGCAGGCCTTAACTCTTTTTTTTTTTTTAACAATGTGGTGTACTGCGGAGGAATTTTAAATCAAATAAGATTTGGATGATATCATTAGTTGCAGAGAATATTTAAAGTGTTCTTGTCCTTGCATTTAGTTTTTAAGTAGCCCTACTGGATGGAAAAAAAATGTTCATCAGGCCCTTGCTAGTGTGTGGGCAAGGGAAAGTGCATACTTATGGTCTATTATTTGGTATATAATATCCTAACCCAAAATCATATTTTACAAGTGGATTCTGGTCCAGACTTAGACTAGCTAACTCTCCTCTTCATTGAGGTTGTCAGCAAGTCTGGGTGGTGCTAGGTATCTTGTTGGCCATGTAAGAATATATGCAGAGTACTAGCAAAATTGTCTGAGAAATGTTTATTCACAATTTCATTAGACATATTGACTTTTTTTTTTTGAAAAAAAAAATTAAGATGTTTAGAATTTTTTTTTGAGATCTGAAATTGTGCAATTCTTTGTGGTGTGTTTTCTGATTTTGAATTCTGAAAAATGATGAAGTGAGTTCTTTTTTTTTTCTTTTAGGATTCTCCAGAAGGCAGCAAAATGCTTAAATTTCGTAAAACTCTTCCTGCTTACAAAGAGAAGGATGCCATATTGATAGCCATTTCACAAAATCAGGTTTTTAGTGCACAAGTCCTATATATATATATATTTTCCTTTTTTGCTACAAGTTGTTTGGTGCCACCTTTGCATGGAAATCTATTGGCATTAATTATGTAAAACGAAGGTATCCATCTGTGTTTCTAAGAAATGAATGTATTCAGCATAAGGGTTAAGGCCTTACACCTGGTTTGTCTAAAGTTTATTCAAGCTTGCCTAAATGTGCCAAGCTAGAAGACCTTTATTTTAATATAAATTTCTTTGTCTATAATCCATCTCTCCTACTAATAAACCTCTTTTGAAGTTCATTGTCACGATGTAATAAGCTGGTCAAAAGGAGATCATTACTTTGGTTAGGTTTTCCTATATTTGAAGATGGTAAATCCTGTGGTCTACTGTCAAGATTTTTTTTTAAAAAAATTGGAATGTCATTGTTATATATATTGAATTTGAACTTTCTCTTGCACACGTGCGCGAGGATGAAAAGAATTGTTATGTTGTCATGAATTGATACCTAGGTTTGGTTGTCAATATTATTCAAGTATTGGTGCTATATGATTTGGAATAACGTCTAAATTTTTGTATTTTACAGATTGTTATAATCTCAGGTGCAACTGGCTGTGGCAAGACGACACAGATTCCGCAATTCATTTTAGAAACTGAGATAGAATCTGTTCGTGGAGCTGTTTGTAATATTATATGCACGCAGCCAAGACGAATATCTGCTATGTCTGTTTCTGAAAGAATTGCTTCAGAGAGGGGGAGAAATTGGGTGAATGTGTGAGTTTCTTCTGAGAAACATTCCCGGGTTACTTGTCCATATTACTACCTTCTATCAGTAACATGTTTCAAGAAATTGAAGTAAATCTTCTCGCTTTATTGACTTTTGTTTGAAGGTTGGATACAAGGTTCGGCTCGAAGGTGTAAAAGGAAAGGATACACACCTTCTGTTTTGTACCACTGGCATCCTGTTGAGAAGGCTGCTTGTTGATAGAAATTTAAAAGGAATAACTTATGTGCTTGTGGATGAGATTCACGAACGCGGAATGAATGAGGGTAACTTTTAGATGTTTGAGGTTTTATTTTGGGGATGATGAGATCTGATTTCTCACAATGAACTTTTGATCCCAGATTTTCTTCTCATTGTCCTTAAGGATCTCCTTCCTTATCGGCCAGAACTGAAGCTGATTCTGATGAGTGCAACCCTCGATGCCGAGCTTTTCTCATCGTATTTTGGCGGAGCTCCAATACTTCACATTCCAGTAAGTTAAAAGCCCGGTTAGCAGTGTCGCCTCATCTTCTTTCATTGTTTTTCAAGGCAATTTAAATTTAGTCATCAGTATGTGGATATGCTTGGGCTGTCCTTTTTCTTGGTGTCCTACTTACTGTTTTATTTTTATAATTTTATGATAAATCAATTTCTATGGAGAGAGAAAAACCTCGATGCTACTGGGTATGAATAATATTCATTTTGAGATTTCTTTTTTTTTGGCATTTGTAATGCTCGTGGTTTAGTGCTGGTATTTTGGATCATGTACTGAATATGTTTTGTAGTTATGATGCCTGATCCTGGTCTTTACAATGGTATGACAGCATGGCACACACATTTAGTTAACCAGCATCTATGGATACTAACATTTTACCGGTGCATTTCTTGATTTCCTGCCTTCAATAATACATTGTTCTGCACCTTCTTTTAAAGAAGAAAGAGATGAGTTCACAGGATAGTAGATATGTATGTGTGTGTGTGTGTCAGAAGAAGGTCCAGTGAGACTCTTTTTTATTGTACACTAAATAATCCACCAGCTCAGGCAATATGGTGAGTAACGTTGAAAATGCAGATATGACATCTATTCTGGGGAGCAGGGATGGACTATCATACTTATTTCTTCTGCTTTCATTATTGTCTGAGAACAACTTTCCATATAAATTGTAGGTCATCTTATTTTTATTCAATCTTAAATTTACCCAATTTAGTTGATAAGTTTTGTTACTTTCTCTATCATTTTCCTGGTTAAATATTTCTTTAATGCCAACTGATCTCATTGTGGCTAATTAAAACTTTTATTCAAGGTGCACCCATCTATTTGGCGTGTGTATATCTTTCATTCTGTCTCTTTACAGTTTTCTTTATATCACAATGCATGGGCTGGAAGGCTTGTTCTAATGGCCCTTTTAATGTTCTTATTTAGGGCTTTACATACCCAGTACAAACTCATTTTCTGGAAAATATTCTGGAAATGACGGGTTACAGATTGACCCAATGCAATCAAATTGATGATTATGGTCAGGAAAAGATGTGGAGGATGGGCAAACAAGCTCCGAGAAAGAGGAAGAGTCCAATTGCTTCCACTGTTGAGGTATAGATGTTCTTAAGGTTATATTCTACCAATTTGCAACTATTTTCATTTCCTGATCTCTCTTTTTTCATTATGAAAATGTATGATTAGGATGCATTTAGAACAGCCGATTTTAAGGAGTACAGTAACCAGACTCGGGAGTCTTTGTCATGTTGGAATCCTGATAGCATAGGTTTTAATCTTATTGAATATCTCTTATGCAATATATGTGAGGATGAGAGGCCAGGTGCTGTTCTAGTTTTCATGACTGGGTGGGATGACATAAGTTCTCTGAAGGATAAGCTTCAAGCTCATCCTTTATTGGGAGATCCAAGCCGAGTCTTATTACTCACTTGCCATGGTTCTATGGCCAGCTCAGAGCAGGTAACTTTATTGTTTTAATTTACTCTTCTGATTGTTAACATAATTTGACTGTATAGTTGCTTGCCACTCAAATGCTTATTTTCGGCAAATTAATGAATAACCAATTTATGTCACCATAAGTTATACTTCATCTGTAGTGGAAGGCAGAACAGCAAATTCTTACTGCATATTTTCAGCTGCTTTTTGCCAAGATATATTTTTGTTATCTAATCATATAAGATTCCATATGGCATTCTTCCTGTTCAACTTTTCGAAACATTACTAAGAGGATTTGTTTGGAATGCATTTAGAGGTTAATATTTGACGAGCCTGAAGATGGTGTGCGGAAAATAGTACTGGCTACTAATATTGCCGAGACAAGTATCACAATCAATGATATTGTTTTTGTTCTCGACTGTGGGAAAGCGAAGGAGTCTTCCTATGATGCATTGAATAACACTCCTTGTCTGCTTCCTTCCTGGATTTCTAAGGTTTCTGCTCAACAAGTAAGTTCCTCTGTTGGAGAAGTATAAGATGGCATCTGGTGTTGATGTTTGGTACATGTTGTGTTTTGATCTTCTGAAGAAGTCATCAGCTCACAATTTTTTATCAAGCATTCTTTATCCCTCTTAATATTCACTTTGCGAAAAAAAATTCCTGTAGTGGTTTAACACATAATGGGCTAGTGGGACAGGTATTTTTCCTTCCTGGCATGTCTAAAGTCAGTAATTACTGTCTTAACAAGTGACAGGGAAGTAGCCTTTGTAGTTTTCATTCTTGAAATTCAGTTTGGTGTCCAGATGGTAGGTTGTCTAGCATTAACTTGAGTGGTTGATGAATCAGAGTAGTTATGGAAGGCAAGCCAATCATCTACAATGAATAATGCTAAGTTAGCTTTTTAGAACTAGAATAATTTCATTTTTTTTCTGTATCTATCATGTGTGTACTTTTGTGGGCACATGTGCATTGGAACCATGGTTTAAGCAGCAGTGTGTCATGGAACTGGGTCCATATGGATTAATCCTTAACAGTTACAGCCAGCATGGGTTGAATTTTTAAAAAATTTAACAAATTTTTATTAATGTTCAGATTTTCAGTATTTCATTAAAACCAGTCAATGCTTATAGTTTCAATGAAAGTTGATTATTTTTTAAAAAATAAAATAAAATAAACCCTAGCTAATGCATGCACTCATCCCAACAATTCAGTGTAGTGTTGAATTCAAATTGAAAGTATTACTAACCAACTTTAGTTGGCTGGATTAACAGGGTTATGCATTTTTGTAGCAGCACTTGATGTGCTGTTAACCTTGTTTGATCAGTTTTTTTGGTTGAGGGTTAAGTGCGGTTGTCTCCTAATCCTGAAAATGGGGTTTGTGTTAATAGGAAGAGCTTAACAAGGTTTAGCCCCCAGCCTCCATGATATCAACTCTGGCGTTTTCCACAGCGCCTTGTGCCAAGTTGCCAAACCCTTGTAGCTAAATTCCTTTTTATAAATTTTTTATGCTCTTTTACAACACATTCTGCAAGTTTCTCACCTCCTGCAAATAAATGACTGAATATCATCACCATATTTGATCAATATTAAGTTAATAGTGACCATAACTGGTCATTGGGGGCCATATGTGGTCAGACTTGACCCGACATCACCTGTCATCTGATCAAGTGTGACCAGATATCGGTGTTGAAAAAATTTGGCCAAGGAAATGCAATTCCTTTCTTATTTGGGTCAAGTTGGTGTAGAAGCCAACCAACTTCTAGAGAAATTTACTGTCATGACCTTTATAGAACACCATTACAGATTCTTTCATCTGCTGAACAAATAAAGATAGTCGGATATTGTTGACCAAATATAGAATGAACTTCAGGAACTCAAGAATATCTAACATATTTGACAATCCTTATAATTTCATCAGAATGCTGAAGCAAGCCTGCCAAAAGGTTACTGTAATTCTAGAGGCCAGATCTTACACGAACCAAAAGTTTGGTTGAGTTGGTGCAGTATTGGGGCGTTTCCATTGTTTATTGGATCTTATGTAGACCTTTAATTTTGCCATTCCTTTCCCATAAATATTTCTGAAACCATGCATTTCACTCCGATTTGGCCTACTGGTTTACCTGATTGGGCTAGCCCTCACTACTGGCTAAAGTAGAAGAGTTAATTCTTCGGAAAACTTCTTGTTCAAGCCTAGGCAATCAATCGATTCCTTTAATGAAACAATAAAATGTTATGTGATAAGTTGATAGATTTGGAGATGGTTTATTTAGTAGAATATATGAAACTGTGGCCTTGTAGTTAGAATGCAGTTAAAGGAAAAAGGGAAAGGGAACGAAGGAATTGACTTTATTCTTGTAAGTTGTAATACATAAAAGGAAGAAGCTAGATTAAGGAATGCTACACTATCTGCTTCAATATTTACGGCATTGCATGTATTTGGCCTGCAGGAAGGGATGTGGCTATTTCTGGATCTTGGAAGATTGCCTATTTTCTTGTTTGTCTGCTTAATTGATGTCGCAAAATTGTTTTCAGATTCACATTCATTAACAGTGTTTGGTTTCTCTTTATATTTTGTATAATGTAGAGAAGAGGAAGAGCTGGCCGTGTTCAACCAGGAGAATGTTATCATCTGTATCCTAGGTGTGTATATGATGCTTTTGCAGAGTACCAATTGCCAGAAATTTTGAGAACGCCTTTGCAGTCTCTCTGTCTACAAATCAAAAGTCTGAAACTTGGAAGCATTTCTGAGTTTCTATCTAGGGCTTTGCAGTCACCTGAGTTATTAGCGGTACCCTTCTTTCTTATTTCTATATTGACGTGACATACTCAGGCTTCCTTTTATTTTTTCCCTTCCCTTTAGAAATTATTGTCAACATTACCCTTCATACAAGTGATTTTCTCTTGCCTACATCTTTTGACTTTTTGTTTTTGATTTATCTATTGTAGGTTCAAAATGCCATTGAATATTTAAAAATCATTGGAGCCTTGGATCAGAATGAAAACTTGACTGTTCTAGGTAGGTCTAAATTTCTCTATATTTTCTTTATGATTTTTTTAGATTTGTGTAACTTATGCTAATGCAAAAAGATTTATTGATGGCAAGATTTAGTTTTATTCAATCTGACTGTCACTTGGCAGGTCGATATTTGACTATGCTTCCAGTGGAGCCTAAGCTTGGAAAGATGCTCATTTTAGGTGCTATTTTGAACTGCCTGGATCCAGTACTAACTGTTGTGGCAAGCCTTAGTGTTAGAGAACCTTTCTTGATGCCATTGGACAAGAAGGATGTAAGTCAGCTTCCAAATTTTATATTGTTAGATGAAAGTTGCATGTGCTTTGATTAGGATAAAAGCAAAAAATCTCTTCCTGAAGAGTAATTATTTCAAATTTTATGGTTGGGTCTCCTATTGGCTTCAATGGGCTGCACATTAATGCGTTACACTTTTCCAAATAATTAATATGAATTATGATTGTGCAAACTTCCTTCTCCCTTTAGTTGCCTTTTATTGAAGCTGTAGTTAGCCTTTGGTGCTACCAATTGGATTGCAAGATTTAGTTGTCACATACTGAAGGGGGGAACAAATGAAACTGTTAAAATTGGAATAAGATAACATCTGCTCAGCTTCTGTCCTAATATAGATTTAGCATAGCAGTGGCTAGCAAGGAAGCAGTTGGATTGCCTCCACTACTAATAATGGCTGGGCACCCTGCAGCATAGTGATAATGATGTTTGATATGCCACTGATTATTCTTGCTTGTTTTTCTTAAAATATGAACATCGGTTAATTTCTATTTTGTGTTATGCAGTTAGCAGAGGCTGCAAAATCTCAGTTTTCTGGTGATTATAGTGACCACCTAGCTCTTGTCCGAGCCTACGAGGGCTGGAAAGTTGCTGAAAGAGATCTTTCTGGGTATGAGTACTGCTGGAAAAATTTTCTCTCAGTACAATCTATGAAAGCTATCGATTCTCTTTGGAAGGAGTTCTTCTCCTTGCTCATGGATACTGGCCTTGTTGATGGCAACCCAACCACCTGCAATGCATGGAGCCATGATGAGTATCTGGTTCGAGCCGTTATTTGCTATGGTCTCTATCCTGGAATTTGCTCCATTGTGGTGAGTTATTTTATGAGTTATTTTATCTATTTTCATCTGCTGGTTCTTTGTACTTTCATATCTTCATCTCGAATTATGATGTATATAGCTCACTAATTCCTTGATTTGAAAAGGCCTATTTATTTTAAATATGCTATTTAGAGGATTTGGTGGGAAAAGAGGGATGATTACTTTAATATTGTGTGATTTTCACAAATCATGAGTGCTGACTTGATTTCATGTACAGCACAATGAAAAGTCATTTTCACTGAAAACTATGGAGGATGGCCAGGTGCTTCTGCACTCTGTGAGTTCATTCTTCCTGATTGTTATCTCTTCTCTTCTGAAATGAGGGGAAGGTGCTCCGTGTTTTTGTTCCGTTTTAATTGCTTGGTATTTTCTCTCCCCAGAACTCTGTTAATGCCCGAGAATCAAAAATTCCCTATCCGTGGCTGGTTTTCAATGAGAAGATAAAAGTTAATACTGTTTTTCTCCGGGATTCAACAGCTGTTTCTGATTCAGTGCTGCTTCTATTTGGTGGGAGCATCTCTAAAGGAGATGCTGTGAGTTTTTTAGTTTTTCTCAATCTTTTAAAGCCACTTTGTTTGCTGGAGTTGCATCACTGCATGTGGTGGTTTTTCTTAACTGACTATATTTATCTATGTGTATTTCTCTGACAGGATGGGCATTTGAAAATGTTGGGAGGATATCTGGAATTTTACATGCAACCTGCTGTGGCAGAAATGTATGAGAGCTTGAGAAGAGAGCTCGATGAGCTGATTCAGACCAAAGTAAGCAGACGATGGATGGCAACTGGTGTTATACTTCTACATCAATTTTGATATGTTTTGTGCTTAGTGCTGTTGTACATTGCATACCATAGTTTTGTGACTTGTCTCTCCACTTCTCTCGCTAAAAGTTTCCAGCTGTTCAAGGGTTTGACATTGTTAATTTCTGTCATGGTGAATGTGGACAGCTGTTGAATCCCAGGATGGACATACACATGCATCACGAGCTTCTCTCTGCAGTGCGGTTATTAGTTTCAGACGATCAGTGTTATGGCAGATTTGTCTTTGGTTGCCAGGTCTTTAAGCCCTCAACACCAACTGTTTTGGCAACAAAGCCTGCCTTAATTTCAAGGAGCGATAGTGGACCTGGAGGTGATAATTCTAAGAGTCAGCTCCAGACATTGCTCACCAGGGCAGGATATGCTTCACCATGCTACAAGACGAGGCAATTGAAGAACAACCAATTTCGAGCCACTGTTGAATTCAATGGAATGCAAATTATGGGACAGCCTTGCAACAACAAGAAGAGCGCAGAAAAAGATGCAGCGGCTGAAGCCCTGCAGTGGCTGACGGGTGGGACCCAGACAAGCCAAGAATACATCAATCACATGTCAATGTTTCTAAAGAAGAGCAAAAGGGATCATTAGTAAAAAGCATTGTGAAGCTTCCTATGGACTGCTTTTTTTGTAGAGCCACTAGCTGAACTGTTGGTGCCTAGCAATTCTTGAACACAAGGAAATGTGGTCTTCTTCTTATGTAGGTCCAACTCTCCTTCTCCGTTCTTAAAAGAGATAAAGGATGGTCAAACGACAATGTCACTTTAGCAAACCTAATCTTATCTTGATTCAATGGTTATGACCATTAGCAATTGGACAGATGATTGAGTCCACAACAGGAGCTGCAGGCTAATGTTGATAACTTGTGGGTGATTTGGAATATGAGGTAAACCGCATTTAGACATGGAGTTGAGCTGAATAGTTAAACATTGAGAGGACTGATATGGATCTCTCTACTTTATCCAGTTCATGCGTTTGCTGTTGGAGCTGAATGATTGATGGTGACTGAAAGTGTAATTATCCAAGACTGATTGCTGTTGAGTTTGTCGCACAGAATTTAAGAAGCTATAGGCACTGACTTTAGATAGGAATCTGAGCTAACCCCTATTTCTGGTATTCATTTGATTGATTTGTGTATGGTTAGATGAAAAAAGATTCGGATTCCTGGAACATCACGAGGGATGTATATAAGAATGGGTCAATTTTTTATACATGATGCTAAGCAACTTTCCTTGTCATCGAAGTACATAGAACTGTTATTCTGTTATGTAAATTGGATTTCTATTTGGTATAAAAATTGGTTATGGTGAGAGTTCTTTTCAGGCTCGATGCTCAGGGCACGGTCAAGGGAAATTTGACTGTAATTATAAATGATATTGATGGCCGACGGGGGTTTGAGTCTGTAGAGCATAATTTGTTATATCTGAGGCAAATGATTAAGCAGATGGGCCGAGTGGCTGCAAAATATCAATGAAATAACACAATTGTAGTTAGATGAATTGAGTTTCGAACTTGAATGTCATTGAACTCTTCCTCACCAGTCATCTTAACTTGATGATCATTGGTTAACACGATAATATCCAAGGCCTCCTGTCTGGATTTTATAGCCACATGAAGGTACTGATAAGGAATCAAAAAAGGAGATGAAGAGTGCTGATGCACCATTTATCATTATCTTTACTCTACTTTTGTGGAACTGAGAACAGTTATGAATCTAATGATAAAGCACCTGATGGACTAAGCGTTGGCAGCTTGCTCCAAGTCCCATTCTAAACCCTAACTCCTCAAAACATGACCAACTATTCACCTAAGCTTCCAAGTGAAGCCAGCACAGACCCTTGTTAGAGAGGGCCTGTGCTGGGGTTGGGTCCAGCATGTCCGTGACTTTAATGAATATATCCTCTCACTTGTTATTGACTAGAACATACGTTGCATTTGCATGTGATGGTGATAACGCCAACTATAATATTGGCGATGAGTTGTTGAGAGTGTTGAGACTATTGACAGATCTGTTGATTCATATAAAACTATTTTCTTTTCCAGAAGCATCATTAGAGATAAAATTAACTTTCCCAAATCTAAGCCTTCTTGACTTTTTTCTAAAAGATAAGGAAAATAAAAATAAACCTCAAGCTCATATTCGACGATTCTTCTCCTCCACTTGTCATGGGATCGATCCCTTGAATTTTGTACATAATAAAAATACATGACCGTCCTCGAAATGCGACATTGATTTTGTTGTCGGGGTAGGCCAAGGTTGGTTACGAAAAATAATTTTGAAAAGAGTGGAATCTGACCATAAGACTGAGACAGGCTGGGTAAGGCTTGCTCCTTCATGTCAAGATTCTTTTACAAGGTTTTTATTTATTTATTTTATTTTATTAAATTAAGTTTTGCTGGTTATTAGAGGATGAGGAAACTGGAAGTCAGAAAGTGGAAGCAAAGATGTGGTATATTGTCTGGAATTCTATCAACCTCAAATTGTACTCTGTTACTACAACATATGAGGTCTCGGTAGGCTAGTGCCACCATTGACCCTGATGAATGTGACCCCAACCATGTGATGAAGCATCTTCGTCGTTACGCTGTAACGTTGCCGGGGTGTCGGACCAAAGTTAAATGCCCATAGGAACTGTTAGTAGTGTCAGGGGTCCCTTGATGTTTGTTTCATCACTTTAAATTGCGTGGATAATTTTCAAAGGATGCATGCAAGAATGAGGAGCTCCTTGGGCCACATTTTGCTGGTTTGAAATCACAAGCACAGTCCCATGACAATTTAATAGGCCGAGAAAGAGTTGGGGTCATGTATGTTTCTTCCAATTTTTTTAAGATATGGGGCAGGGCAAGTGGGGAAGTTTGTTGGTAGATGAAGAAAGATCGATTGTGATAGTATAGCTTCGTCTGTCCATGGAAGGGAAGAGATATTCTAGTTCTGGTTCCAAATTGTTTAGCCCAACTTTGCAAGGGGATGAAAGACTTCCTTTAAAAAAAAAAAAAAAAAAAAAAACAACTTCTAAGATATCATGAATCACAGGCACCATTCAAAAGTTATGATTTTTGAGTTTTGACATATAGTTTAATGATTCTAAAATTTCAATCTAACTAGCACAAAATTCATTAGCTATTAGATATTATTCAAAATGACTCGGTTTTTGATATGGATTTAGAGATGCAATCAAACAAATTATTTGAATATTATTCTACCGGATTATTTGAATATTTCTTTGTAAAAAAAATAGTAAAATATCACTATTGTTATGAAATAATGAATGTTCATCCACTTTTCATATCCTCACTACTCATGATTCTTAATATGATTCAATTCATCATTCAATATGAGAAATTGAAAGGGTGATGCAATTGATTATTCATAGTTCCTTCCAATTCTCTCTTCAATTTTGAAGCCTATAAATAAGCTTGATTGTTCATTAGTTGGTGTATAAGTTTCCTAGAGAGAATAAGAGAAACTTTGAAGTTCTTATCACTTATATTCATATTATAGTGATTTCATTTTTTTGTCATCCTTTTCTTCAATTCTCATATTATTTCTATTTATTTTATAACACGTTATTAGCACGAAGCTCTAACCAATCGAAATAATAGACCATGAGGTATGCATCTACCAAAAGATTTAATCAATTGTTTCAACAATTAGATTTCTTCTATATAAGTGCTCTACCAAAAGATCTAAATTATTTAGATCATTAAGAGGTATGTATCTAATTTATTCATGTACTTTAAATCTATTGATACATGAAATATATATTTGAAAAAATTAAATGGTCTACTAATGATTTAATATATGTTATTTGAAAAGCTTTAATTTTATTATTTTATTTGTTCTTATTTTCTAATATTATTAGTATATATTGTGTTATAGAATTTTTATCATATCAAACCTCATAAACTTGATTTAGTGACTCTTGATATTTTGAATAAGAATTATTGATTATGAGTACTTGATTTTGAAAAAAATATTCTCTACTTTTTATGTTTTGGATATGCTCCTACGGTAGCGTATCAAGAAAAAGAGTTTAAGAAATATTTTGGATCGATTTTATATTTATTAGTGGCTAAATAAAATGAAAAAGAATAAATCTCATCCAATTGGATCTACTCCATTCCCCGAAGTGAATGTGACAATTTATAATAATTTTAGACATGGATGAAGATGTGGTCATAGCTATGGATATGGTTGAAATAATTATCATTGTAATCGTAATGACCATAATATTAAATTTCACCACAAGAAGTGGATAACTATGAAAAAAAGAAATAAAAATAGATAAAATCGGTATTCTGAAAAATAAATATTATAGATGTGAAATGAATGAATATTGATCGTGTATCTATCGTATACCAAAGCACCTCATTGAGGCTTATCAAGCCTTATTGAAAAATAAAGAGTAAAATATGAAGGCCACTTTTATATATCAAATTAATAGTAATTGAAATTAATTACTTGTTAGTTTTTCTATTTATAAATAAAATGTTTTATATTTCTTATAATTTATGTCGTATATTGATGGTTACAAATTTATTTTACTATTTATTTATTTATTTATATTTATGAGGCATTTACTGATTTATTTATTTTGTATTGATTTATTTTATTAGTTATTTTATGTTAATATTATATATGATAATATCAATCTAATAGAAAGCTCTAGAAGAGCGACTATATTATTATATAAAGCGATAGATTTTGAAGGCTCTAGAAGAGCGATTATATCATGACTTAAAGAGACAAATTTTTAAAGCTCTAGAAGAGTGAATAAATTATTACTTGAAGAGAAAATGTTTAAAGGCTCTAGAAGAGTCGATATATTATTACTTGAAGTGACTAATTTAAAGGCTCCGAGAAGAGCAAATATGTTATTATCCGAAAGGATAAATTTATTATGAATGATTTACTATTCTCTTTAAAGTCTTATAGAAATTTGTTAAGTTTCAAAGATATTCATCCGAATTGATATCATATCAAGATAAAAAATACGAATACTTATATGTTATAATCATTATATTGGGTAAAAAATATCTATCAAAAAATTTATTCGTTTTCTCTTCTAGTCTTTATTACAAACATTCAAATGATTGAAACAAATATTGTAGTAAACCGAAGTTTACTAATTCAAATACTTTTACTATGTGACATGACCAAGTGTATTATCTTGGGTCTTTCATGATGCAAAAACAATTATTAAAAAATTTATATGAATATCTATTGAAGAGCCGGAAGATTCTTCAATTTAATGAACTTTCATGTTCCGCATGTTGCCAAGGCAAATTGATGATTAATCCATCATCAAGTAAAATTTAGATTGAATCTTCGGTACTTTAGAATGTATTCAAGACGATATATGTGGTTCAATTCATCCACCATGTGGACCATTTAAATATTTTATGATTTTGATAAATGCATCCACAAGATGGTCACATATATACTTATTATCTACTCGAAACCCGACGTTTTCGATATTGCTAGCAAATAACTTAATTTCGAACATAATTTTTAAATTATGCCATTAAAATAAGTTACCTTGATAATGCCGATGAATTTATTTCTCAAGCATTTGATTACTATTGATTGC